CTTTGATATCACTAAACTTCGCGAAATGGAAATTATCACTTTGAGAGAAAGGCCTTATTAAATTGACCGAAGTGAGAGCGTTTGAACCAAGTCGAAATCTATGCGAAGACGGTCTAAACCTTCCGAGAGCCATTCGTACAACAAAGTCGGATAAAATTATGCAATTGCCTTCTATGAGGATAGATGAGAACCGTTGCGCGACGTCCCCACCAAGTACAGCATGTATCTTTTGACCCTAATGAAACAAATAAAGGACTAATTAGTATACATACAGTATAAACGTTTTGATGATAGTATATAATTATGTACCTTTGGATCTTCCAGTACGAATTCCACGAACCTAGCGCCATACGCAGGACACACGAACCTCCTAATAATTCTCACCTTAACCCTCATAGTAACCATGCCGGGGCCTAAGTCAGCAAAATCAACACAAACATCCGGTTGGTCTACGTCACTTGTGATATCGTGTGAGGAATTTTGAGACATTTTACGACTGAATAAACAGAGAGAATGCTATCTAATCGATCAAGAGGTGATCGTTTAGGGAACACGCGCACCTTTATTTATACCCAAATAAGGAGGTTAATAATTAATAAATAATGTCAGGGATATTCATTGGTCTCACGGTCTACGCAAATTGACATTATATTTAAAAAATGCCATAACAGTATCTTATAACGTTGGAATTTTACCTAATTAGATTCAAACGAATACAATAAATTCGATATAATATCCTTTTATGCTATCAGAATATATTGCTCACCATGGAAACGCTAGATAGCCACACGATATTGTCGCTAGACAAAACTGCTATTTTTACCATTATGTAAATCGTATAAAGTTAAGGTTTATCGAAACAGTTGATTTGTTACTATCACATTTTAAAAAAGGCAACTTATTTTTCCGCATAAATTGATATTGTTAATATCCCTAATCTTATATTTTCATCGGCCTAAACAATCTTATATTTTATTTTAAAAATCTCATAACAGTATCTTATAATATAGAAATCTTACTTTATTGGGTTAATCAGAATATAATAGATTCGATATTCTATCTTTTTCTGTTATCAGAATATATTGCTTACTGTAGGAATGCTAGATTCCAAACCAATATCATCACTGGGCAATATTGCTGCTGTACTATAATGTCAATCGTATAAAGTTAAGGTTTATCGAAATCGTTGATTTGTTACTATCCCATTTTTTAAAAAATGCGAATAGAAACAATACACCATACTCTGGATTACGCCAATCAAATAAGATTTCAAAACATCCTCCGGGAGGAGCCGACTAAAGGAACAAAATATAATTCACTCACGTTCTCGACCTTACCAACAACATCTATAAAAAGAACAAAAGAAGGTAAGCAAATAAAAAGTAGATGGTACACAATTACTAACCCAAAAAAAAAATATATATATACAAATCTTACCACGAACACTATATAAATTTTGAATTAGTCATATATATTTCCATCTTCCAAATCCACTTTATTAGGACCACATGCGTGACAACGGGCCGAAAAGAGAGAGAGAGAGAGAAATCAATTTACTAACTAACTGTATGATAAAGTATGACGATTAATTCGTTTGCATAAAAGAATACACCAACTACTAACATTAAGAACTTAAACCAAATCGTTCGAATAAAATGCCAAAGCCAGAATAAGAAATCATTAGTAATAAATGTGAAGCCAAAAGCATACAAAATCCATTTTGAAAACTAATCGTCTGCTTCCCGTCTATCGTAAAACACATCCCTCATTCTTGTAACTTCAACACATCGATAATTTAGCAAAATCCTGGTACATGTGTATACAGTGGTAGCTCTCCAGAAATCTAATAACCAAACAAATAATAAACAAAAAAACAATAACGCATTAAATAAATTGAACACAAATAAATAATATATTTAAATCCAACACACGACAGAAAAATAAAAATCACATGCAGGAAATGTCAATCGAATTACCTCGAGTAACTTCTAGCCTCGCGAACCTCAATACACATATGATGATGTTATCAAGACAATTCCTCCATTCGTTAAAGAACGCATTCGAGTATTCATTTGGTAAACGACACTGCAAACGCTCTCCCCTTGAGACCAGAGTGTTATAAATATTTATATATTAATATATATAAATAAATATATCCACAACAAAACACACAATAACAGTAAAAAAAAACATTTAACAACAAAGAAACTCACTCTTCGTTTTCCAGTTCCAAAAATAACTCGTTCCAATCAGAAGCAGGTGGGCCGGACTCTCTTCCATTACCAACCCTCACGACACGTCCAATTAGATCTACATATCAAATTGCACACGATAATATTAAAACGAAAAGCAAAACAATCTCCTACATCAACACATGATAAAATATTATTAATTACACTAAACACATTAACAATAAGAAAATTTGATATTACCAACACATAAAGTAGGGTCCAAAGAACCACTTTTGATATCCTCGAAAGCGACAAACGAAAAGAACTCAGCGGAACACAACGGTCGAATGTCCTTAATCGTTGTGCCTGAGTTCCATACAATCTTAAAACGATGGGGAACCGGTCTAAAAGCTCCTGTAACAGGAACCAAATCAAAATTAGTTATACTTATCCAATTGCCCTCAACAATTTTCGAAGTGCGCCGATCCTCATACTCCTTGTTTATTACAGCATGAATCTTTTGACCCTAATACGAAAAAATGAAAAAGGCATGTCAATCGATAAATAATAGATTACCAGAGAATTACGAAGAAACATTAGATTGGATACAGATCAAGACAAAGCCCAATATACATTAGTTTACCTTTTCATCCACCAATATTAGTTCCAACGTCTCATACAAATAAAATTTTCTTAGTATTTTAACTTTAATCTTCCACTCATGAACAAAGGGATTCAAATCAGAAACACTAAAAAAACATTCTCTTTTACGAATCGAGTTCCTGATGGCATTAGAGAGAAGATGAGCCATAATAGAAACAAATTTTGCGGAATAAAGAAAAGTGCGAGAATATTATTTATTATACATATATATATATATCAAGTAAAATATATATACGCGAGTATTTAGTTTAGGAAGATTCCCAAATATAAAATATAGAAATTGAACAATATCAACATACTAAATAAAACAATTTACTTTTTTTTTATCAAAACAATTTACTTATGATAAGATAAATCTCCACTAAAACAGAATCTATCATAAATAAAATCTTCACTAAAACGGAAAACTATCAAATATTATCGAAGATAAATTCAACCTTTTATCTATATATATTTTTAAAATATATATATATATATATATATATATATATGTAATCTATCTATATATATGACCGTTTAAATCTAGCGACCATGGTTGAAACTAATTACAAAACATACCATCATTCATAAAAACAGAAGATTATCATATGTCAATACGATAATATATCAATACCGCATAAAGGAGAATATTATTCTAAGTTCATATTCATACAAACCAAGATGATCCGAGTACAAAACCAAAAACAAACAGTTAACATTTCCGATATTCAAAAAAGAGTCACACGGGCAACGTCCAGACGAATCGCACTACACATCCACCGTTAATGTCCTAGTTCGAATCACTTGTCTCACCAACACATTAAGACCTAAGACAAAGCAGCCAAACAAAAAATCAGATATAAAAACAAAAAAATAAAAAATAAAATAATAATGAACATAGGAAATGACTACCGACATAGTGCAAAATTCAGCAGCCTCAGGAACATCAGGATATGGCAAAACCTTAGAAATCAGCCCCTGGTTAACAATCCTAACATTCTTTGGTCCATCGAAATATCTGTCTACCTTCCACAGACGCATAATACAGACCAAAGGCTTCGAAACACACAAGTCATAGTGCTTTCGGAACTCCATCGCTGAGCGTCCCGACACCAAACCATCGATAGCATTCCCGCTTTATATTTATTCAAGAAAACACAAACAAAACAACAAAAATAAAAATGATATAATTAACATTTAACACCAAACAGGACAATACCCAGACAAAATTCACAAAGGGAGAAAATATCTATTTACTAACCAAGGCCCACGAATCCGAAAGCTCAGTCTGAAGCCAGTGAGATCTGATGGATTTGTCCCGACATTCACCAATTCACCAACATCAGACAAAACCCCGATCAAATCTAGTTAAGAAACAGACACAACTATAATTCAGACAGGTATTTCCAAACACAACAAACAAAATGAGAATTATATATAACTTACCAATCAAGACACTCTCGTCAACCGTTCCGTCAATTATCGAACTGAACGGAGTAAAGGAGTCACGGGGTTCAGTCGACGGTGGATCGGCGGGAAGAACGACAGTCGTTCCAAAGACAGACATTCTGAAATGATGATTGGTAAGCCTGACCCTATCAGAGTTCTCAAGAACACGAAACGCCGTAAAAGAAAACCATCGATCTTCCTTCAAAAACTCAGCATAATGTTTCGCATATTCACTATTAATCCAACAATCGATCTTAAAACCCTAGACACACGACATAGTCTGTTTAGTAACTAACACGAATTAGCATTTTAAAATCAAATCTATACAGAACAAAACCAAAGTACCTTATCATCCACCAGAACCAAACGGAGAGCATTCCGAGGATTTATGCAAACAGTAATCATGCGCAGAACCTTCACTCTTATGTGCCAACCCGTAATACAAGGGCGCAAAATCGAAACATCATGGAAGTAAGTCATGGTGAAGGAAACAACTAAAATTGATAACTGGTTATAGATACTTCAATAAGAAATATCGATAATCCGAAAAGACGAAGCAAGAAACCGAAGATTTTTTTTTTTCTCTGTTTTTTTTTAGAAGTAGCAGCGTGAATTAATAAGTGGAATTGGAAGTATATTACAACTAATATAGAAATCAATCTAACGTAACATCGATTACTGAATAATCAATAATTAAATAAAAAGGTTTTTATCCGTTCAGAAGATTTGATGATTGGAAACAGCAACTATCCATATTTCGGCTGTGTAATTATTACAAACCATGCAAGATATGACAACACAAGTCATACATCAAAAATCTGACATAATCTCTACCACAAGCTAATCTACAATATAAAATAATTAGAAAATCTATAAAGTAGTTTAGATAACTTCAACGAATCTAAAGATAAAGACATATTCAAAACTCGAACACAAAAGATAATTGTTACAAAACCCAAATAAATATCTCAACATGACATAATAACATAACACAAGAAGAAGAGATTTTTACAAAAAGAAATTAAACCAACAGAAGAGGGTATCCATGTTTATGCACACTACGGAAATAGGGATACAATTCTTGATTTACACCAAGAACATTAAGAATTCTGATCAACAACTTCACCGGCGTCATCACAATCCTCACCTTCTTCAATAGCCCATGTTACCCTAGCTATGAAAACAGACCTGAGAATTAAATTTAATACATTAAACAAAATAATAAATTTGAATCCATAACAAAATCAAACTACATATATAAACACTAAAAAATCACAATAATCATTTACATCATCCTCAAGTCCTTGATCTCCGGTAATGTGGGCTCAAGATATATCTTAGAACAACCAATTCTGGTGGAGATAGAAGGTTCACCTATAGCCACATCAACACAATTTGAATAAGCCCTTTATATATATTATCTATAATAGATTCGACATCAATACACCAAATGCATACCCATGAACTCATCGACTTTCCAGAAACGCAACACACAGAAAACAGGTTGATAACGGAATGAAGCCTGGTAGCCTCGGCTTGTCCACACATTCATAAAATCAGCAGCATAATGACCAAGCGCAAAACATGGCAGCTCCCTACCTCTGTTTTATTAATCACCGTTTCAAAAACACTTAAGATCAGTGACAGTCTTTAAATAAACTCTACATAATCACAAAAAAAACCAAGAATAACCATGGACTAAATATAGCACCAAAACAAAATCAAATTCATAGACTTACTTCTGATCCATGAGACGGAAATATAGATAATTGCATGCAGTACTTGCATCATACTCTCCGGGAACATAAGTCATCCTTTTAATTTCAGACACATAGACCACAACTCCACATAAATCTAGCAAACTCACAAAAAGAACACATATCACTACAAATCATACCAATAGAGACATAAGAGGTTTCTAACAACACGGAACATCTAACAAATAAAAAACTAAAGATACTTCAAACAATAATAGAAACCAAAAATGAGATTAGCTAATAAAAAGAATGTGACACACCAAAGGGACGATTTGCCTCCAAAAGCCTCCTCTTAATGACAGAATATTTTGCAAACTCAGAAAAATTGGGCGAGTAGAGATCATAAATCAATGTCATCTTTGTATCACTGTGGAACTTGATATGGAAAGGGTGAAGTGTGTTCGGGGTCCTCCGGATCGGAACAGAAACAACAAAGTCAGAAATAGTATACCACGCATCTTCCCTTAACTCCCTCATATCAACGTTATGGAAAGGACCACAACCGATTGTACCCTCAATTTTTGTCCCCTAGGTACATGCAAAACAACAAAAATCAAATATTTCTTAACACAACTAAACAACAAATCACAAACCAAAGACAAATAATCCTTAAAGATTTATAATAAAATAAGCAAAACTATAAAAATAATCTAGCAGATCCACCAAAAATCAACAAACTAACCGATCAAAAGAAAAAACGACAAAGACACACGCACCTGCTCGTCGGCAAGAAGCATTTCTGTTTTACACCTAAATCCATAGATGCGAACCCTCCAAAGACTCAGAATCTTCACCCGAACGTACTTAAGCGTCCTACCTCGAGAAAGATTAGAAAGGTAGATTTGCTCGGACATCTTTGAACGAAACCACCGCCCAAGACCCTTCAGTTTTCTTTTAGGAATCAGAGAGAGATAGAAAATCTCGAAATAAATGAAACAATTGTTTACAGTGCACATACACGGTGGAAATTGAAATAAGCAGTCATAGCCACAAATTTTTAAATTTAAAAAATATCTTTTTCCTAATAACTATTTAAAACATAAGAATAGCAACAAAATAATATTAATAACTATGTGAATCTCTAGATTATACACAAAACAAAACTCACACCGTATTAAGATAGATAACGCCAATAAGAATAATTAGAACCATCGCTAATATGATATAATGAGTTAGATCGACATAAATTTTTAAAACAGAATATTAATCATTAACTAAATAAAATATATAGAAGCCAAATAAATAGCAACAAATTCAAATAAAATAATTACTCATCATCAGAGTCTTCAAATATAGGCCCCGATCCAAAATTTGGTACGGTTTGATCAATACCAAACACCAAAGGATATGATCCGTATTTATCAACAGATACATCACTACCCTTAGCAATATAACTAAACAACAAATAGATACTGCTGTAACTCCTAGCTTTGCTTCCAATCTCAGTCCTCTACATCAAAAAAAAAAAAAAAAAAACCCAAAAAATAAGTAGACAATAGAAAACAAACAAATAATTTAGAAAACACGAAGACATCTATAATAATAGGACATAGGATCTAACAATTACGTAAACTACACACAACATACCTCTTTCAAAATATTCGGTCGTAATGAATACTTCAGCCAACTCAAAACCTTTACAAACAAACAAAACAATTAAAATCATACCTTATAGAATGGTAAGATATTCTGATGTCTATATATACAAGTCATGACACATAAGACAATAAGAGAACAAACATACATGCTTACAAAAGCCCACGCGATCCGTAAAACACGACGGAGCAACAACTCTTCTACGCCAATCCCGTGTGGTCTAAAACATCAGAGAAACAAATATATAAATTAAACATAAAACGATTATTACGTTACATAATAAATACACAAGATTCGACAAAATACCTTATTAAAATAAAACATATCATCCGTGCATCTTCGGGAGAAGGAAACACCAGCGGTTACCTAAGCCAACGGTACGAAATAAGAATAACCCGTAACATTTGATTATCGCGAAATATATATACAAAAAACAAAAGCCAAATCATCATTTAAAAGTTAGAAAATTAATATCAAACTAAAACCGATCCACAATAACCAACATATTAGATACAAATAAGAGAAATACCTGTTTCCAATAAACCGACACAAACCGAGATATGAGTTCATCGAGTACCTTCAAAATCACGGTAAGATGAAAATCAAACAATAAGATGTCAAACCTTGCACATAAACTCAAAACTATTTGACAATTTAATTATAAATCAATACTAAAAAATAAAACGCAATAAAATCGCATATAAAAGTATATACGATAACAGGAAGAAACACATAAATGTATATGGGTAAATAAATATAAAAATATACAAATTAAAACTATAGAAGTACCTCCCCAAACCTCGCTCTTTGCTCGTCAACACCACCTTCGTCAGAGAGCTTTGTCGATGGAACCTCCCACGTTATACAAAACTGAAACACACACCAAAAACACCAAATTAGCAAAACAATAAATCATCGAATAATGCAAAAAAATAAAACAAACAACACAAACAATATGCACACGACCTTTAAAGGTCCATAAAAACAATATTTGCATGACAAACAACTCGATTCATCAGAATCGTAGTAGCTATATAAAAAAACCATAACGGTGAAAACTATCTAATGGCCACAGAAAAATAATACCTAATCCTCTGGCCGATCAACAATATATATAGCTTTAAGATTAGGGCAAACACCAATCATTATCTTAAGAAATTTTACTTTTTAATTAGAAACAAAATCAGAAAACTAACAAAAACGAATTTTAACTGCTAAATTATAGAATTATCCAAAAAATTAACAAATAAATTTAAGCTAAGATTCCATAATCATTAAAGTCGAGATATTATGACCTCCATATCCCCAACGATCATACTATAAAATAAAAAAAATTAAGGGTGATTAAGACTAATCATCACAAAACACGATTAGACTTATATACCCTTAACAACTAAGAACAAAAATTTTCGAATTAAGGGTGTTTAGGACATTATAATAGAGATCAACACACGATTAGACTTATATACCCCTAATTACGAAGAAGGAGAAATTTCGAGAAGAACAATTCATTAAGGGTGTTTAGGACAAATCATTCTAACTTTTAACCACAGGCCTCCAATGCCCTAACTTTCAATATGGTGCGTTTCTACTTCTCAAATAATTATTGTAGAGATTTAGACCATACATAAATTTTCATCTTTTCGTTCATAACTTGATTTTACTAATAAGATAATTGCAACAAAATAAACAAAACCATTATTAACAACATATAATGGTTTTTGTTTTCTTCTCACACAACATATAAACCAATTTCGATCATCCCATGACCATCTTTGATCCCAAATTCAAAACTTTCACACAAATTTTAGATTTTTATCAGTTAATTCACACAATTTCTGGGTTTTGTCTGTTTATTCCGGGACGGTGAAATTAAATCGAAGCAGATGTGTTATTTACTCAAAACAAAGGATGCACACAAGTTGTTCGACAGAATTCCTCAATGGAGATATCGAAGAAGAGTTGTTCGAAAAAGAAGACACCACGATTTGGGTTTCTCTTCTCACGTGATAAAAGCTTCAACAACTCTGTTACGTGGATCACACGTGATTAAAGCTTCATCTTTGTCGTTATTATCATCTCCATTGATTTTTCAAAACTTCGCAAACAAGTTTCTATCTGAATCAAAAACCCTAGAGAGTGGACACCAAGAAATCGCAAGAAGCTTGAGAAGAATTACTCTTTCGTCAACATGGCGCCTCTTCTTCCTCTTTTAGTCGAAGATCCTGAGGTCGCAAAAATCAAGAAACTTGTCCAAGATTACTTCGCTCAAGGAAATCACATCAAGGCATTGGAGGTAATCGAAGATTCGATATCAGTCCGTGGGAAGGAAAAGGTTCCAGGAATGGTTCATTACCTACAAGGTTCTTTCTTCTATGAACAAGGAACTAAAACAGAGAACAGTGACATGAAATTCCCATTCTTGTTGGCTTCTGTAGAATGCTTCTCGCAAGATTTGGGGGTACACGCTTACTCTGCAATTGCACTTTTAGAATTAGGTAAACTGATTGGCTCAGTATCATTTTACAGGAAAGCTTTAAACAATGCAAAAGAAGGTTTATCTTTTATTGCTTCTTTTGGTGGTTTGAGGTTGAGAGAGGAACATACCAAAAGTAATCTTGAGAATGTAGTCCTAGTCGCAGAGTCAATGATCCCAAAACTTCAAGGCAGAGTAAGGAGTGACTCGGATACGGCTGCGGCAGAGTCAATGATCCAAGCGGCAGACACAATGGTGTTACTGCAAAAAAAGTCTGAACCAAAACTTAGGGAGTCAAAGAACATTCGAGACAGTATAAGGAGTGACCCGGATACGGCTGCGGGTAAAAGATTGAGGTCGTATTGGGCGAGTATGGATGTTGAGAGTAAAAGGAACTTCATGAAAATAAGCATTGAAAAACTAAAAGCTTATGTCGAGAGATTACATGGCAGAGAGGGACTTGATGCTTTGGAGCAAGTTCTTGATTCTGCAAAGATAAACAGAAAATGGAAATTTTGGATGTGTCGATCTTGTTCACAGAAGTTCTATTATCCTAAAAAGTTTAAGAGTCATCTTGAACAAGAACATGCTGCAAAATTTAAACCTTCTACGAAAAAGCATATGGCGCAGATGGTAGACGAAGTCTGGGCTGGTATGATATCGGTTGCAGATTGGGAACCTGTTGATGCAGTAGCTGCCGCTGAAATGATCAAGACTCAGCTCGAATTTGTGAAAGAGTTTGTATATGAGAATGGATGGTCGAAAAACTGGCCTTTAGCTGCGGATGAAGAACGCAGTAAGTTACTCAAAGAAATCCAGTTGCTCCTTGTGTCGTTTCGGGAGCATAAAATTCTCTCTTGTAGCATTCGGGATTGGATGATGCAGTTTACGGTTAAGCATCTTGCACAGTTAGAAATTTCTGAGCATACTCTTACTGGGCGCCGCTTAGTGGAAACACCTCAGAGTATTTGCTTTTTGGAATGTCATGAACTCAATCAAATCCTATACCTTCTCAAACGCATTAACTGTGAAAGGGTTGATGGTACAGAATTGGTTTCCAAGGCAACAGACAGTTTATGTGGTCGTTTGCGAGTTAAAGAAAAGATCGAGTTTGACCATGAGTTTTCATTTATGCTTCTGGATAAAAGACTGCTGAGAGGCAAGATTGCTTCATTTGATGATGAAGGGATTATAGATGTTTTTGATCAGAGTGTTCACTACACTAAGACGCATCCTCAGGGCGATGATATCATAACCTGGTTACTTGACTACCCTTTGCTAGATGAGAGCTTTGAATTTCCCAGATCTATCAGGGCACACAATCTTGAAATATGGGTGGCTGTTCTGAGAGTCATTCACTTCACGTGTACGACTTTAGGAACCAAATATGCAAAGAAGTTGCAGATCCTAAGTTATGATGCAGCACTTGCTGACGCCAAAAACTTATGTATACTCGAAGATAAAAGGAGAAAAAATGTTCCAGAAGATCAATGGAACACATATGCATCTCTTCTGTGCGATAAATGTGACAAGCGTTTAGAAATAGACGGCGGAGATTCTCACACTACAAAACTATGCCTATGTGCAGTACGAGATATTCTTGAAGGAGCATCACATCCGGCATTTGAATTCTCCGATCTAGAAGATTGCCTGACTCTTATACGTGGGCATAAAAATCTCAATGATGACATAGTGTTGAAGTCCATAGACCTTCTGAAATCAGTGGTCACCAACAAGGTTCAATCCTGACCTAAGTTTTAATTTACAACAGAATAACATAAATTGTCACCGTAAATTATTACATTGACTTGCAGGTTCCGGTAGCTGATTCAAAGATTTTGCTGGTTGAGAATTCAAGGATTATTTTGCTAAACGACCTCGTCAGGCTTTCTGTTTTTGACTACCGCTCGTATATCCTTCACCTGCTGAAACGTTTCCTACGGGTTGGTTTGTAACTTGGTTTTATACAAGGAGCTGTCATTTTCCCTCTGATTTTTTTCTTATATTATAACTGATGTCTATTCTTCTAGGATGAGTTGGATCGAATTGTTGATATGGATGCCAAAACCAAGTTCGCTGCAGCACAAGCCGAACATTTATTCGAGGAAAAACAAGAGAAGGTGAAGAAGTCAGGGTCAAATAAGAAGAAAAATAAAACCAACAAGGTCGCTGAATGTCTAAATTCTTTATTTGCTTCAATGAATTTTTGATAACTCAGTTGTAAGAATCAATGTCCTTCATGGTGTAACAGAGAACTTCAGCGAGCATGTCGAGTCGTATTGATCAGGATGACGTACAGTAAGTACTCTAGATGAGAAATTTGATTTTCCAAGACTCTTTTCGCAAGTTGATCAATTCTTTGTAGGTTTTCTCTGAGCAAAACGTGTTCTTGCATATGTCCAGCGAATCTTCTGTCAGCCTTGAACAGGAAGTTACTCCTCCATCACCAAAATCAAGGGAAGAAGATTCTACGGAACCAGAAGGTACTCTTTCAAGTGAAAGGGGTCGATTCGAAATTTCATCCAACACTAAAAGTCAAGACGAAGCTACTAAAGGTTATTCTCAGTTGACAAATATTTTGAACTATGTATGCAAAACATATGACGTCTAGTTTCTGATACTTATTTTTTTTTTTCATTTGCCGCCTTCAAGATATGAAAAACATGCCTGGAGAAGATTTACTATCTGAAAATTTGGAGTCATCACATAAAGAAGCAACGAGATACAATTCGGCTCTTGACATGACCCTAAAGGTAAAGCAGCCAAAATAAGATTCAAAAATCTGAGCTATCTTCTACTGATTCAGCTCATTCGTTATTTTCATATAATAACTCCTTGCTTACTCATTTCCGTTGAAAAAATTATGATACTGCAGGCCCTCTTGAACATCAAGGTTCTTGAAGAGGATTTGGTGCACAATCGGCAACCATTTCACGGAAACCTGGAACAAGTTCCTTGTGCACTAAAAGATTTCTTTTCTGCTGTTGTCTCGGAGCAGATAAAAGAAGATGGACTCTACAGTTACCTACTGAGCAACTTACTTGCTTCGCTAGAAGAAGTTCATTCCCTGGTTTGTGAGGATAAATATAAGCTTCTAAAACGTTTTAATAGTTTTCATATATGTCATTCAATTCTTCTTTTACTTTTTTTTTAGTCAAGTGATGCTGATGAGGTAGTCGTCGCCATCCTTGAGTTTTGGCATTGGTGGAAAAGTCCAGAAAAAGAAAGCTTGGTAACTCGCCTTTTTACGTTGGAGGAATATGAAAGAATAAGTTGTACAAGATGCAGAAGGAAGCCAAATTATCCAGAGCAAAGTTCTTATGGAATTGTTATGGCTGCAAATTCAATTAGAAACCTAAAGGTAAGTTTCATTTATTTCCCTCGTTGTCTTTCCTACAGAAACTGGTACTACTCCTTAAAAAGTTGTTCTGTGGTTATATATATTTGCAGTGTGCTTTTGCGAATATGAAGTTTGAGGACATCCTTAAGGTGATCCGTATGGAAGATGAGATGATATGTGATGCTAAAACAGGAGGATGTGGAAAGATAAACTCTGTTCACCACATTATAAGTAGATGCCCGCCTATCTTCACAATTGGTAAAGTTTTGACCATGATTGTGATCTCATCTACTCGTTTCATTTATAGTGGTATGACTAAAAATTGTTGCTGTTTTTGTGGTTTTGCAACATTAGTGTTGGAATGGGAGAAGAATGAAACTGAAACAGAAATATCTGAAACACTTAAGGCTTTGGACTGGGAGATAGATATCAGCAGGCTATACGAAGGCTTAGAACCAAACACTAACTACCGGCTTGTGTCAGTGGTAAATCTGAAACAGAGTTTTGTGCTATTGTTTTTCTGTATCTCTTCTCTGTTACAGTGTCGGAATATGGAAAATGCAGATTGGTTGTGGTGAAGAAGGAGAACACATCTGCATGGCTTATAAAAGGAACCGGTGGGTCAGCCTCAGACATGAAACTTTAGGAGAAGAAGTAAGACGAAACAGTTGCCTTTTGTCTTCTATGAGTTGAGTTTTGAACTTAGATAGGTGAGACATTATTGATATGTGTGGTGATGCCATAGGGTGTTGGTAACTGGAAGAGTGTGGTCAGAATCTGTGGAGAAAGGAAGGTTCGTCCAGAGATTCTATTCTATGAAGCTGCTTGATCGTCGATCGATGACATAAATAGTGTGACATAGTTATATCAATATGGACACCTACCATTCATCTATAAACAGTGACATGTTAATATGATGCTTGAGAAAGAGTAACATAGAATTAGTGACTTTGAAACCAATTGGGTTAGCATTTCTATGGTTGTAAGTATAATGGAAGCACTGCAAATGTTGTTCTAGTCACTATCTCTCTTCAGCGATCTAAAAATGAGAAGAGGACATATTGGCATATTGCTGGGTTAAGATTGTGTATAGAATCTTATTGACATTGAAGAGAATGACCCCTGGATGCATTAACTGAGCAGATCATGATTTTCAAAGAGTGAACAAAGTTTGAAGCTTTTGAACGGGTGAGATCTTATGGTACAACAAAACTAGGCATATGATAGATCTCTGAAGAGTTATATGGAACATATTTGTAGCTTAGGAAAAACAGACAGTATAAACTTCTATATGAAAAAGATGGAAAAACAGATAACAGAGTGCTTAAGCCGTGTCTTGCGGTTGCCTTCAAACATCGCTCCAACGATCGAGGATCATGAAAATGTTTAAGACATTCAGGTATGATCCAAAGCACACCAAAAGTAATAAAATGGAATCGTTTGTTCCAAGAGTTTTCACAAGAATTCGTAACATTCATCACTCATGTTGGATATCAAATGGCACGACGTTAAAAAGATTAATTAATAAACTGACACTTTAAAACACCAAAACCTCTTTATAGCTTTTCTCTTATTTATTAGTAAAAGATTTTGGTTATGGTGATATAGTAAAACTTAACAATCATATTGACATTTACATAAACGCCGGGGAGGTTGACCCGGCCAAACAAAAGCGGCAGAACATTCGCAACGTACGACAAGATCTTTTGGTGCACCAGGCAATTTTTTTATGTCGCTTATGCATGTATTCTTTCCATTAGGTCCGCACTGTCCAGGAAAAGACCTGTTCATGTCGCATCCCCATTTTGTTTTGGATTCCACCACTATTGAGTTATGTCAACCACAAAAAGATTTCCAAATTAGAAAACTATTAAGATAAAACAATTGACAATGCGAAATAAAAGTAAAATTACCTCTAACATGGCTGAGAACGAGGAATGTGAGAAGACAAGAAACCATAAACAGAACACCGCATTTCATGACTCACAAAATGATAAATTTGACTGTCTCCTTTAGTAGCAAATATTTGTAGTTTAAATTTATTTTTTTATGAGCAACACTCATAATAAATATACTCAAGACACGATAAAATTAGATGTTGCTACTAATTAGGGAAACATATAAAAAAGAAAGATGGAGCCAAGTCTACGAAACCGATGGAATCGGTCTTTAGTTTTTTTTTTTGAACAGTTCTCCTATGCAAAATTTAATTTTCTAATCCATTCACATCCAAAAAAAAAACAGTAAAAAACTTTCATGTCATAGATTAGAAATTCATAAATATCTCACAATTCATACAAGCATCACAATATATTGTTATATGTATATTAATCTTATTTTCAACACCACATACTAGGCATCAGATTAAGTGAAGCCAGCGAACGAATGGTACAAAGAGTATGGTTCTCTCACGCAACTCCCAAGTACTTCTTGCTTGTGTGGTTTGCAATGCATAATCATTTAAGAATGCGACGACAAAGCAACAACAGAATGAGTTTGTGGAACACGAATGTGGATACTTTGTGAGTATTTTGTCGAGCACCAATGGAATCTAAAAATCATTTATTCTTTCTTTGTACTTATCCCTCTCAGGTTTTGGGAAGCATTGCACAAGGATTACTTCAAGATCAGTATGATATATCGTATTATGATATTGTAGCTAAGATGTTGGATTCCAAATTGTGACCTACGGTGAGGTTCATATTGAGGTATGTGTTAAGTGTGTATGCAATCTATCTAATGTGAGAGGAACAAGGCACGCCTCCTACACTCATGTCTAAAGGCAAACATATATGTATATGTTCTCAAGATATGTAAAAAGTCTGAATGATTCATGTTATTAAAAATCAAGGAAGACTACTTTCTTATGATCAAGGGTCCTTTACAATGAGATGAGAGATCATCTTATATAGAGCTGAGTACAACATTCTAAAACTACAAAGAAAGAAACAAATCACAAACATAAATGAAAATATATAGCCATTGGACATAAATTCTAGAATCTGTCCAAATAAGGCAAGTGAGATGTGCCTTGTATCTTGTCAACTAGGAAGTTGTGACGTCTTAGAAGCTTCTGGTAGGTCTCAAGAGTCTCACACAAGCGCACACACAAAGAAGGAAAGAGCCGTTGCAAGTTGATCTCTTTCGGCTCCATATATGGCAAGTAGTAACTCTGCGGGTTCTTGTGTGGTAAGGTGTACCAAAGTTCGTGTGGTACATGTCTTGTGTGGTCTAGATGTTCTCCTAGTTTCTATATGTAGCTTTGAGGTGCGTCCAAATGAAGAATAAGAAATATTTCCTTGTTTGACTTTATTTGGTCCAGTACATCAGAAGGTAGTTCAGCGAGTATATCAGCTAGTAGTTCAGCCGGTTCGTCAGCAAGTACATTAGCTATATGTACTTGTAACATCTTTGAATCAATTCCTTGGTGAATGATTCCGTGATGACTTGATGTTGCCTCATTAAAAACCTTTCTAGGTAAACCCATTGGGACAAATTAAACCTTAGATAAGGGAAAAAGAGTGAAACGGTCAAATTCCCACCATATGGTGATTCGGCTCGCTGGTCTTTGATTCCTCTAGAACCATCATTAGACTTCTGAGGGTTAATATGCTGGTGAATAACTAACCCTAGGTCTTGTGCTTAATTAGGACTCCATTTGGGCAAAAATCCTCTAAAATGCTCCATATTAACCAGTTTGATACATGTACCGGCTGGTTTGGTATGCTTCCGGTTTGGTTTGATTTAGATGTCTGCATCATACACTCTCCCTTGAAAAAGTTTTTACCTCAAAACTGAACAATCTACACCAAGAGAAAGCAAGTTAGCTTTCATTCGATTTTGGGAGGCTAGGGTCTTATCTTGGTAGGGTGGCGGTTTGATAATGCATGGTGAATCATGTAGCTCTCCTTTGAACAAGAAAGATAGGATCACTCCTCTGTTTTGTTATGGTGCTTTGACTTGTGGTGTTGCTTGCTTAACTCCTCCTCGGTTTTTGAGCTTTGAAATCCGGCAGTTCCTTTTTGATTAAGCAAGAGTTTGAGGCTCTTCTTGTCTCTATGATAGGTGGTGTTGACACCAATGATGCTGGTTTACTCTTGTTTTGACTTTGGTTCATGAGTTTCTTCATCTCCAGTAAATCGTAGATAGGTGAGATATTATTGATATGTGTGGTGATGCGATAGGGTGTTGGTAACTGGAAGAGTGTGGTCAGAATCTGTGGAGAAAGGAGGGTTCAGCGAGAGATTCTATTCTATGAAGCTGCTTGATCGATGGCATAAATAGTGTGACAGTTATATCAATATTGACACCAACCATTCATGTATAAGGAGGGACATGTTAATATGATGCTTGAGAAAGAGTAACATAGAATTAGCGACTCTAAAACCAATTGGATTAGCATAGCTATGGTGGTAAGTATAATTGAAGCACTGCAAATATTGTTTTACTCAATATCTCTCTTAAGCGATCTAAAAATGAGAAGAGGACATATTGTTGGGTTAAGATTGTGTATAGAATCTCATTGACATTGAAGAGAATGACCCCTGGATGCATTAACCATAACTGAGCAGATCATGATTTTCAAAGAGTGAACAAAGTTTGAAGCTTATGAACGGGTGAGATCTTATGGTACAGCGAAACTAGGCATATGATATATCTCATCAAAACCTCTTTAGAGCTTTTCTCTTATTTATTAGTAAAGAGATTTTGGTTATGGTGATATAGTAAAACTTAACAATCATATTGACATTTACATAAACGCTCGGGAGGGTTACCCTTCCAAACAAAACGTTGAGAACATTCGCAACGTGCGACAAGATCTTTTGGCGCACCATGTATTTTTTTTATGTCGCTTATACATGTATTCTTTCCATTAGGTCCGCACTGTCCAGGAAAAGGCCTGTTCATGTCGCATCCCCATTTTGTTTTGGATTCCACCACTATTGAGTTATGTTAACCACAAAAAAGATATTTCAAATTACTAAACTATTAAGATAAAACAATTGATAATGTAAAATAAAACTAAAATTACCTCTAATATGGTTGAGAACGAGGAATGTGAGAAGACAAGAAACCATAAACAATACACCGCATTTCATGACTCAGAAAATGATAAATTGATCGTCTCCTTTAGTAGCAAATATTTTTAGTTTAAATTTATTTTTTGTCAACAAACACTCATAATAAATATACTCAACACACAATAAAATTAGATTGCTATTAATTAGGGGAACAAATAAAAAATAAAGATGGAGCCAAGTCTACGAAACCAATGGAATCGTTCGTTTATTTTTTGAAAAGTTTCCCTATGCGAAATTTAATTTTCTAATCTATTCACATCCAAAAAAAAAACAGAAAAAGCATTCCTGTTATAGATTAGAAATTCATAAATATCTCACAATTCATACAAGTATCAGAATATATTGTTATTTGTAAATCAATCTTATTTTCAACACAACATACTAGGCATCAGATTAGAAGCGTGAAGCTAGCGAACTAATGGTATAAGGGAGTATGGTTCTCTCACGCAACTCCCAAGTACTCCTTAGTGTTATAAATTAAACTTTTATGATTTCTGTCGTGAAATCTAATTCCCAAGATCATCTAGATTCAATTTAATTCAACCACACACTTTCTTGTAGAAGAAGAAAGACTAACCTTGATCCATTGCTTGATTAGGCTTGTAATGGAATCAATTCACCACAATTGATTTCTTCTCCCCTTAATCTTTTTTCCTTTACGTGATCTTTGATGGAGAAGATCACTAATCCTTTCTATGATGTATTCCTTTCAGTTATTGTTCTGTTTTTGTGTCTCTAGAAACGAGAACAAAAACGTAACGTTTAACGTATTTAACACCACACATATATATATATATATATGTATATAGCATCTACCAAGGGTTGTATTGGTTCGTAATAACCACCACTTTAATAATGCATGAACATAACATATACATGTATATATATTACTTATAAAATATAATTAAGGCAAGGGAAGAGGGTTATCAATACACCCAAATTCTAATTCTTTAATCGAAACCGATCCATCACGGTATCGTCTTTAATATTAGAATTCTTAACTTTAATATAAACTTGAACTTTATAATTAAACCGAAAGACACATAGGCCACATAGAATGAAATATTCTTACAAGTGTGGCTTGCAATGCATAATCGTTTTAGAAAGGGCGACGACAGAATGAGTTTGTGGAACACGTATGTGGATACTCGGTGTGTTTTTTGTCGAGCACCAATTGAATTTAAAGACTTTATATTCTTTCTTTGTACTTACTCCTCTCAGGTTTGGGGAAGCATTGCAAGGATTACTTTAAGATCACTATGATATATCGTACTATGATAAGATGTTGGATTCCAGATTGCGACTTACAGTGAGGTTCATATTGAGGTATGTGTGTGTATGCACTCTATCTGATTTGAGAAAAATAGGTGTTAACATTGGGAACAAGGCACGCAATCCTACACTCATGTCTACCTTCATTGATCGTATTATCCGGAATAGACTTGCAAGTCTCCGAGTTTGGCTTGGTACTCAGAGTTATTAGCTTTGATTGGGGATTTTTTATTCGCCAATATTTTTGGCACATGAACTTAATATCACATTTATTATACGAAGGTTTTTTGGTTGAAATTTTTTTACATTCATTCGACAAAAAAACGAACAAAAAAATTATGAATCAAATATGCAAACATCTATATATGATGGTCGACTACTTTTCTTTGCATTTTATATAGCTCGGAAAAACTAAAGGAAATAAAATGTAAGTGTGCTAAAACTTATTAAACCAAAAAAAAAAGAAAAAGTGTGCTAAAACTAACATATCAAATAATACTATGTAACTATATAATATCTCTTAATTTTCTACAGTGAGTTCACATTTTAAAATATTTTTTACATAATTTAATATCAAATTTTAAAGTTATAGAATATTAAAAATAGAATTACTAAAATATTTACCAAATTATGGGTACACAGCTTAAACCATTGTGACGGATCTGTCAAACTAAAACACATAAACCATATTTAGTTCATCCCAAACATACCATTACATTTAGGGAAAATTAGAAATAAAAGATGTTTTAATGGATAAATGTCCATATATACTTTTATATAAAAAATTTGGTGAAATAGGTTTTTTAAAAATCAAAACCCAAATTTACCCTCATATTTTCAAAAATATAATTAACAAAATTTTAAAAAAATTATTTCCTATTTTATTTACATAATTCAGATACCCTCATTCTTACGCCAGATTGAACTGTTTTCACTAATTTGGGTATAACTCTTGAATGCACCGTTAGATTTCCTTCAAACCACTTGGAAATTTTAATGATATTCGTAGAACGCTAGAAAACATATTCTAATAATTTTAGACGAAACTTTATCCATCAAAAAATCAACTTTTTTCAATTAAATCATCAATTTTTTTTTTCAAATCATCTATAATCTTGTATATCTACATGTTTTTTTGGTAATCATTCAAAAAAGGCTTAAAATAGAGAAAGGATATTTTAGTCCAAAGTGACATTCTAAAAAAAAAATTGTATATGGTCAAAAAATTTTTTAGAGCTCCTTTATTTCTAATTTTACCTTACATTTATGCGGTTTTATTCTTCTATTCAGGTGCAATAAAATCAAGTAAGTTGTGTAATTTGCTATAGAAAAAGGAGTGCCCACAAGGTGTTCGAAACAATTCCTCAATGGGTTTTTCGAGGAAGAGTTGTTCAAAAAGAAGACAACACGAATTGGGTTTCACTGATCGTCTTCATTGTCACGTGGATCTCACGTGATCAAAGCTTCAACATCTTGTTACGTGATAAAAGCTTCATCTTTTTGTTATCATCTCTGTTGATTTTCCCGCCTCGCAAACCCTAGAGACCAAGAAAACGCAAGAAAGCTTGAGAGAATCATGGAGTCTTCTCCTACCCATTTCTTCGGAGATAATGGCGACGCAAAAAAACACAAACTTGCCTGGCGTTACTACGAACAAGGAGATCACATGAAGGCCTTGGACGTAATTGAAGATTCGGTTTTGAAGATCGGTGAGAAACTCAAGCTTCCATCAGATCTTTATTTCCTACAAGGTGATATCTTCATGGCACTAGCGAGAAAAACCGAGAACAGTGAGTTGAAATTCACATTCTTGTTGGGTTCTGTGGAATGCTATTTGGAAGATTACATGGTACAAGCTTTCGCTGCAATTTCTCTCTTCCATTTGGGGGATCATCTTGGCTCAGCATTGTATTACAAGAAAGCCTTGAGGGTTGCAAAAAAGAGTTTATCTTTTATGTCTTTTGACCCATCGAAATCGGACCAGCTAATTACTAAACGTACACTTGAGGGTATAGTCGAAAAGGCAGGGTCAAGGATCCTCCATGGCCTTACTATGAAAAGCTCTGAACCGAAACTGAGGGAGTCAAAGGAAATAAGAATCAAGAAAAGGAATGACTTGCATACCATTGCGGCTAATGAATTGAGGCGTTATTGGGCGGGTATGAGTGCTGAGAGTAAAAGGAACTTCATGAAAGTTAGCACTGTAGAGCTTAGAAGTTATGTCGAGAGAGAATATGGAAGAGAGAGACTTGATGCTTTGGAGCAAGTTCTTGACTCTGCAAGGATAAACAGAAAATGGAAATTCTGGATGTGTCGAACTTGTTCACAGAAGTTCTTTTATCCTAAAAAGTTTAAGAATCATCTTGAACAAGTTCATGGCGCAAAATATAAACCTCCGAGAGAAGATTTGGCACAGAGTGTAGATGAAGTCTGGGCTGGTAGGATATCGGTTGCAGATTGGGAACCTGTAGATGCACTAGCTGCTGCTGAAATGATCAAGAACCGTCTTGAATTTGTGAAAGACTTTGTATATGTGAGTGGATGGTCCAAAGACTGGCCTTTAGCTGCAGATGAAGAGCGTAGGAAATTACTGAAGGAAATCCAATCGCTCCTTGTGTCGTTTTTGGAGCGTAAAATTCTCTCTTGTAGCATTCGAGACTGGATGATGCAGTTTCCTGTTAAGTATCTTGCGCAATTTGAAGTTCCCGAGCACACTCTTACTACCCAGTGCCGTTTAGTGGAAACACCTCAGAGTATTTGTTTTTTGGAATGTCATGAACTAAATCAAATTCTAGACCTTCTCAAACGCATCAAGTGTGTAAGGGATGATGGTACAGAACTGGTTTCAAAGGCAACAGACAGTTTATGGCGTCATACTCAAGTTAAAGAAAAGATTGATATTGACCATGAGTTTTCATTTATCCTTCTGGATAAAAGATTGCTGAGAGGCAAGATTGCTTCATTCTATGATGAAGGGTCAATAGATGTTTGTGATCACAATGTTCACTACGCCAAGACACATCCTCAGGGCGATGATATCATAACTTGGTTACTTGAAGACTACTCTTTAAGAGAGAGCTTTGGATTCCCCAGATCTATTAGGGCACACAATCTTGATATAAGGATGGCTGTTCTGAGAGCCATTCACTTCACGCGTAGGACTTTGGTAGCCAGATATGCAAAGAAGTGGCAGATCCTATGTTATGATGTATGTCTTAATAAAGCCAAGAACTTATGTATACAAGAAGGTGAAAGGAGAATGAATGTTCCTGAAGATCAAAGGAACATATATGCATCTCTTCTATGCGACAGCTGTGAAGAGCAGTTAACGATAGACGTTGAAGATCCTCTTTTTACAGAACTATTCTTGTGTGCAGTACGAGATGTTCTCGATGGAGCATCGCATCCGACATTTGATTTCACTACTGCAGAAGATTGCCTGAAACTTATACATGGGCATAAAAATATCAGTGATGATATAGTGTTAAAGTCCATAGACCATCTGAAATCAGTGGTCACCAACAAGGTTCAATCACATATGTAGTCCATACATCAAAGTTTCAATTTACAACGGAATAACATATATTGTTTTTGTAATATATATATTGACTTGCAGGTTCTGCTAGCCGATTCAAAGATTTTGCTGATTGAAAATTCAAGGATAAATTTGCTTAACGACCTCGTCAGGCTTTCTGTTTTTGACTACCGCTCTTATATCCTTCCCTTGCTGAAACGTTTCTTGCGGGTTGGTTTTTAACTTTGGTTTTGTGCATAGAGATTTCATCTTCCCTCTGAATTGACAGGTACCTTATATTATAATTCATGTCTTTTCTTCTAGGAAGAGTTGGATGTGATTGTAGATATGGATGCCAAAGCCAAGTTAGCTGCAGTACAAGAAGAACTTTTATCCGAGGAAAAGAAAGAGAAGGAGAAGAAGTCAGGGTCAAAGAAGAAAAAACATAAAAGCAACAAGGTCGTTGATGGTCTAAATTCTCTATTTTCTTCTCTGACTTTTTGATTACTCAGTCATAAGAATGATTGTCCTTCATGATGTAACAGAGAACTTCAACAAGCATGTTGAGTCATCTTGATCAGGATGACACACAGTAAGTACCTCTAGATGAGAAATACGTGGTTTCCCAATACTCTTTTTGCAAGTTTATAAATTGTTTTTAAGTTTTCTCTGAGCAAAACGTGTTCTTAAATATGTCCAGTGAATCTTCTATTAACACTGAACCGGGAATTACATTAAGGACGGAGGAAGAAGACTCTATGGAACCAGAAGAAAGGGGTCGATTGAAAACTTCATCCAACACTAACAATCAAGAGGAAGCTATTAAAGGTGACCCTGGTGGAAATAGAGCTTTGTAAATTACAACTTTTTTGTTTTGAGATGCACATTTCTTACTTCTTCATTCGCCATCTTCAAGATTTCAAAAACATGCCTAGAAAAGATTCACTGTCAGAAGATGCAACCAGATACCGTTCAGCTCTTGACATGACGCTTAAGGTATATCAGTCAGCAGCAAAAATAAGATTAAAACCTTGACTCTCATCTACTAACTCAGCTCATTCTTTATTTTCATTTGTCATTTCTTTACCTCCTATTTGCTTTGACAAATTTTGCTACTGCAGGCCCTCTTAAACATTAAGGTTCTTCAAGATGATTTGGTGCACAATCGGCAACCATTTCATGGCAACTTGGAAGAACAAGTTCCTTATGCACTGCAGAATTTATTTTCTGCTTTTGTCTCGGAACAGATAGCAGAAGAGGGACTCTACAGTTACCTCCTGAGCAACTTACTTGCTTCCATAGAAGGAGTTCATTCCATGGTTTGTGAGGATATATATAAGCTTCTGAGCTTGACTGTCATTCCATAGTCTTGCATGTCATTCAATTTTTTACTCTTTTCAGTCAAGTGATGCTGCTGAGGTAGTTGTCGCGATCCTCGAGTTTTGTCATTGCTGGAAAAGTCCAGAAAGAGAAAGCTTGGTAACTAGACTTTTTACATTGGAGGAATATGAAAGAATGAGTTGTAAAAAATGCAAAAGGAAGCCAAATTATCCAGAGCAAAGTTCTTATGGAATTGTTATGGCTGCAAATTCAATCAGAAACCTGAAGGTATGGTTCGTTTTCTATATTTTTCATTTCCACAGAAACTGGTACTTAAAATGCTGGGCTGTGGTTATTTATATATGCAGTGTGCTTTTGGGAATATAAAGTTTGATGACATCCTCAAATTGGGCCGCATGAAAGATGGAATGATGTGTGATGTTAAAACAGGAGGCTGTGGAGAGATAAACTTTGTTCACCGCACTATATGTAGATGCCCGCCCATCTTCACTATTGGTAAGTTTTGACCATGATGCGATCTTATCTACCCATTTTTCATTTATTTCGGATGATAAAACATTTTTGCTGTTTTCTTTTGGGTTTGCAACATTAGTGTTGGAATGGGAGAAGAATGAAACTGAAAAAGAAATATCTGAAACAACAAAGGCATTGGACTGGGAGATAGATATCTGCAGGCTATACGAAGTCTTAGAAGAACCAAACATTAAGTACCGGCTTGTGTCAATGGTAAAATCTGAAACATTATCACAGATGTTTGTGCTATTCATTTTCTGTATTTATCTGTTACAGTCTCAGAAAATGGAAATGCAGATTTGTTGTGTTGAAGAAGGAGAATACATTTGCATGGCTTATAAAAAGAACCGGTGGGTCAGTCTCAGACATGAAACTTTAGCAGAAGAGGTAAGACGAAACAGATGCCTTTGTCTTTTATGAGTTGAGTTTTGATAGGTGAGACATGATTGATATATGTGTGGTGATGCTATAGGTTGTTGGTAACTAGAAGAATGTGGTCAGATTCTGTGGAGAAAGAAATGTTCGGCCTGAGATTCTGTTTTACGAAGCATTTCAATGGCCTAACAAGTGGCAAAAGTTAATATCAAGGGAAAATCAATATGAAAACCTATCATTCATGTAGAAAAACAGTGACATCTTTCAAATCAACAGTCGTTTTCTTTGTTCATGTATGAATCTTGAGAAAGAGTAATTAACAGACAGACAAGGGTTGAGAAGAGCTGTGGATTAACAGAGACTATGGCACTGTGAAGTATTGTCGAAACATTTAGTGGATACAGTCCTTTTGCAATTAGGCTTTTTATTCGACTTTGTTATTGTTTCTGAACATGTGAATTTTAATTACAATACTTTAATTTTTTGGTCATAAGATATTATCACCGAACACAAAGAGCTGCTTCACAAATACCAAAAACTGTGGTTTCAGGATAACATACTTTTACAACATGTTAAAACAAATAAATACTGGAGATGTAAATTGTTTTATAATATATGATCTGTCTACGATATAATATACTTTGGGAGTTTCTTCAATCAAGTCTCTCGGCTTGTGGAAACTACATTTGTTCATCTACAAAGAAACCTTATCATGTACACAACAAAGCAATACGACTGCTACAGCTCAAAACAGACAAAAACAGCAAATGGTTCAGCTACAAACACATTTTTTTTTTTATCTTCACTTGAGTATTAGTGCAACAATAGAGAGCCTTCTGCTTCATTCTCGTCTCTTCTTTATTGGTCTCTCTCTCTAATCATCATTTCTCCTCAAAATCGACATCAATGATTTGGGACTTAGGTGGCTTTTTAGAGTTTCCCTTGCTGTTATTGTTGTTCCCATCTTTTGAGAAGAAGTCGCCTTGTGGCTGCCACACTATGTTCCCACATCCCTCACATCTGATGATTTGGCTCTTGTATCCTATGAACTGCCTCTTACATGCTGGGCATTCTCCCTGTGCAGACCCAAACATGTTATAACAGAGCTTCGAAACACAGTTTGTTCAAGATAATACTTCATCATACATGTCACCCAGAAATAAAATATCGGTTTCATATACTAAATCAAAGAATGTAGACTAAGGACCTGAGTTATATTAGCTATACCTTAATGACGAAATTGTTGGCCACTGCACCAATGAGAAGAGGGCCAGCAATTGGAAGAACCCAAGTCGCGATTATTATTACTCGGAATAGCCATCCAGAGAGGGCAAACCAAAGAAAGAAAATAGTCTGGAAATGAAATCAGAGCATATCCAATATTAGAATTCTAAACTCAGCCAGTTAGATTCACTCTCATAGTCAGACAATTCATCGAAGTATATGTCCTTTTGTAAGTTTACTTTATTCCATGTACTCAATGACACTCATGGAATGAGATTATATAAACCGGGGCAGTGCTCATATTCCTGATTAATCAACATCACATAAACTAATTTGGTTTTCCTAGTCGAAGCCTGTTGTTGCCTTTAATAAGGGTATTTGCAGAAAATAAAACCCCCAAAAGGTACAGAACTCAAAAGGTCAGACAAATCTTCAATGATATAACCAGTGAGCTTAAGCCGGAAAGATGTTATTCATATATATATATATGATACTGCCTTAAAAAATGTTTCAACTCCAGCTCAATCATAGTTTAGTAAAAGTAAGAGGAAATAACAATGTAACACTTACAGCAAAACTTCCACCGAGCGGTGTATTCAAGAAAGCACTGAATTGCTTCCTGTACTGTAAGCAAAAACAAAGGGGAAAAATCAGCACAAAGCAAAGAAAGAGTCATGTAGGTACAATACAACCAAATCATATCAATGGTCAACTCTTGTCATTCACATAACACAAAATAGATAACTCTATAAAACCAACTAAATTGCCCAGGAATGATTCACCATCCTAATCAACCTGAGCATCTAAATCGAAAACAAATGACGAAAAATGAACTAAATGGATATCTCTTTACTTCGAAAAGAACGAGCCTTTTCAAAAGACATGTCCTCCAATATGTAGGATTCAAATGGCTAGTTCCAATTTTGCTCCATTTGATATGTGACATCAGCAACAATCTCAATAGCAACAATCAAAAGTCCTCTCACATAGATAACAGAATCAATACATGAAATTGAGTTCATCTTCTTTCTCAATTCTCACTATCAGTTCAAGTTCAAACAAAAACTCATTTCATAAGTATATACCTTAGGGAAATTTCTACTCAAATCGGCAGAGAAACTTCTAACACGAGGACTAATCCCAAACTCACGATCAATCTCACGAGCACGGTCACCAGCAGAACTAGCAGCGGAGCTAAACCGGCGAGAAACAGCGTATTGCCGATCAATTCGCTCAGCAGTCTTCTTAGCCTCAAAAACAAATTGCTCGAATCCATCGTTAGCGCTTCTCCACGCGTCTCTCCAAGCTTTGCCGGACTTAACGTTATCAGCGAAACGGTCAAAGTCGCCGCGTTGGAAGGCTTTCACCTGTAAGAAAGAGGCGGCGCGTGAAGTGTACGCGGGGTGTGGATAAGGTGTGGTGATGGTGAATCTGGGTGATGTGGAAGGCGACATGAAGTTGCAAGCCTTCATAGTAATCGAAAGACCATGAGATGATTATACAGAGCTATGTAGGAAGAAGAAGAAGAAGAAGAAGAAGAAGAAGAAGAAGAAGGTTTTTTCTTGGGTTACTCTTCGCCGTGGAGAAGATGAAGTTGTGCGGTGATAGATTACCGATAAATCCAGAAACCTCCAAATTGAAATACAGATTTTGTACCGGCCGGTTTAATCACTTGTGGCCAAAAATTGAAATGGTTCGATTTTTTTGTGGTTTGGAAAATTACATAAATCTGACCAAATATAATATAAATAGTTTCGATTGGCTGATGATTAATGCCATAAATTTGGATTTGCTTGATAACGAGATTAAGTCGGTCGAGTTTGTAGAAAGTAGAAACATATAATAAAGTTGATTTTATTGAGAATTATTAATTTAAATTGATATATATTATTATATAATTGTGTAGTATCCATGTTTGAAAAATCGCTAGGCGCTAGTAGGGCGCTCGGCATGGGTCTAGCGATTAATCGGAAAATCGGATTAAAATCGGGGATTAATCGGGGATTAATCGGGGATTAGTTTTAGGGTTATTTTAATATTTTTAAAATATATTAATCCAATATTGTAAAAATTTATGATTTTTATTACAAATTTATGATTTTTATTAAAATTTGAACACAAGTTATTGTAAAACATCACAAACTCTCCATTCAAATGATTGAATAACAAAAATAAAAAGTTTTTTTATACTTGCAATCTAAAAAATAATCGGGGTATATAAGATTAGGCGGAAAGTAATCGGATTAGGCGGAGAATAATCGGGTTACTGATTTTTTAGGGGATTAGTCATTAATCGAGGCGGATAGGGTGGGCCTAGCGATTAAGCGGAGAGTAATCGGGGCTAGGCGGGGATTTTTAGAACAGGGTGTAGTATATATATATATATGGATATTTGATATTGAAAAATGAGGGAGATAGACGTGAGTGGGAGAGAGGGTATAATTCTCTTTCTTTATTTTCTTTTTGATATGTCTATAATTTGCATGATTTAAGCATTCATTCTTCATCACTTTGTCATTGTTTCAATCACATTTCATCTCATTAGTAGTCGTTTTAGTGTGTTTTGCATACTTAGGACGTTTTTGCATTAGGATTGCATGTGCATCGCATATTTGGTTGTTTTCAGGTACTTTGGATGCTTTTGGAGTTCAAACAGAGGAGAAACAGAACAGAAATTCAGAACGCTCAATCACTCCCTCAGCCAAAGCACTCGATCGCAACCTCGGAGCCCTGACAGAGCAAAGCACTCGATCGCAACCCCAGAAACTGTCATGAAGGGCAAAACCACTCGATCACAACCCCGGAGCAATTTCAGAAGAAACCACTCGATCGCAAGATCGAGCAGAAGCTGTCATGAAGGACATATCACTCGATCACAACCCCGGATAAGCCAGCAGCTTAGTTTCACTCGATCGCAAGCCATGAGGGATCACCCACTCTACACCACTCGATCACCACCTCACGTCATCTACTTGATCGCACCACTCGATCGCAAGGTCGCTGGACCATTCCATCTCGTCTTCACTACAGACCACTCGATCGCAAGACGGAGTTCCCGAAGCCCAGTTTGATCAGTTTCACTCGATCACAGGGAAGCCCATTTCAGCCCATCAGATGCTTGATCGCAAAGTCTCGTTGTGAAGACCACTATCCCGAACTTTCCTTATTTAACTTTTTTTTTTCGCTTATATAAGCAGCCTCTAAGGGTTTTCCCTAGGCCATCCAGTCTTTATTTTCAGTTTTTACCTAGACTTGTTTTCATAACCGCAGTGTGTTCTTCCTGCGACTTTGTATTCGCTTTCAAGTATTTTATAATTCAGTTTTTGTTTCAGTCTTTATCATTTCTTGTTATCATGTTTTCAATCGTTTCATTGCTATTGTTTTTGATTATGTCTGAGTAGTGAATTGTATTTCTGAGGATGGGATAGAGTAGTCGTGGTTGTCTTAGTCGATTTAGATGGTTGAGTTTAGATTGTTTGAATCCCTTCTGGATTAGTTGCGCTTATTGCTTGTTCCTTTCTGATCAACTGGAAAATGAATCCAGACATTCCCGCACCCAAAAGGTGTTTGATGGAATGTCTGATCCACTAATTCCAGAGATACTCGTCTCTATCCCAAGGTATTGGCCGTTTAGAGCGGGTATTGGCTTTAACAAGTTGATTCGATATTGCCTGCTTAGTTAGAGATCGCTAATGGTGATTAGGTCTGTGTCTAGCTCTACTTGAGAATTTCTATCACGGTGGTGAATTGATTTGCTTTTGAACTTGATGTCAAGGGATAGCTTCTGTGAAGTTTTGTCAACCGTCTAAATAGATTAAGGAGACCACGCTATTCGATTACCCTGTCCTTAGGAATCTCTCATCCATTTGATTGCCTGTTATCTTACCTGCTTTGTTATTCAACTGCCTGCTATTGCTAGTTTGCATTTCAGTTTCATTTCATTTCTGTTATTTCGCATTAGGACTGTTAGAAAACAACAACTCTCTGCTTGGCTTGACTTAGCAAATTCTGATCACATCTCATCTGTTTGCATCACACTAGATTGGATTGACACCCTAAAATACTACAACGACACGATAGTGCTTTAGGATTAATTGAGTGAAAAATATATTATCACTTTTCTTATTTCACTTTCTTTCTTTGTAATCCCAACATTGAACGATCTCACACATATATATAGGAAGTGAGAGTCAGTCAGAATAATATTAAAATATTTAAATATCTGTTTCTAGAAGATGGATAATTAATTAAGTATATTCAACATTCCCC